AGTTCTCATTTGATTAGGCCCCTATATATATATATAGAGAGAGAGAGAGAGAGAGAGAGAGAGAAAGAGGGGGATTAATCATGATTAAAAATAGATTAATTATTTTTACGAATTTAGTTATTTGTTTTATACAACTTGATAATAGTGACAATGAAGTAATACTACAATCTAATGGGATCAATACCATTATCATCAATATTATAGAGGATGAAGTTGTAAGTAACAGAGTGAATGAATATGGTAAATCTCTTATATACATGAAAAATGAAAAGATTGAAGATGTCGGATAATTCTATGTAATCGATTCCAATTAATATTTGTTGAATATTTGCATTCAACTCCAAACCATTCATTTCTTCTATATTAATTCAAATAACTTAACTTCAAACCGTTCCTTTTTTCTAATCAATCATTTATATATATATATATATATATGTGTGTGTGTGTGTGTGTGTGTGTGTGTGTGTGTGTATATATATATATATATATATATATATATATATATATATATATATATATAAACAACAACCATTTATTCATCTTTAGCTCTCACACCCTCTCAAATTATATCTCTATCCTATACATCCCTAAATTTATTTTCTTTCTCTTTGGTTTTTCTTCTATTTTACTATTGATAATCTTCATAGTTTTTTTTGTTTCTTTACTTCTCCCATTATTTTATATATGTTTATATCGTTATTTAGATTGCATTATAATGTCATGAAGATTTGAAGAAGTCTTCAAGTTCAGTATTTGATTTTTTGGTTGCAATATAAGGTAATAATCGTATATTGATTTGTTTCATGATTTTAATTGCATTATAATTTTAGTTATGTTTGTATCGTGATTTTATTTGCATTATAACTCTTATGTATTAGGTGAATACTTGAAGTGTTCAAGTTCACTATGTAATTTTTACTTAAGTTGAGCGTTTTCTGGTTTGCAGGTTCTCGAGATCTTTAACTTTTATGTACTAAGTCTTAAAAAACTTGAAGTTTTCAAGTGTGGGTTATGTGAATTTTTTATTATGATCTAAGGTAAGAATTTTATGATAGTTGTTTTGTAATTTAGAGTGTATTATAATATTATGTATGTTTGTATCATGATTTTGATTGCATTATATTTTTAAGTATGTTCTTATCGTAAGTTTAGTCGTATGATAATTTTATGTATATTCATGTTGTGATTTTGATTGCATTATAATTTTATCTATTAGGTTATAAAGATTTGAAGTCTTTGAGTTTGGTATGTGATTTTTTACATATTGTATGATTGGTCCATCCACTATTGTGTTTTTAAAGTCAAGGTGTGTGTTGAGGATGAAAAATTGGTACATGTACACCATTCTTTTTGGTTCTTATACATCGTAATCATCATCACACAAAACTAAGTTTTTTGTCGTCTGAACTAAGACAATAATAATTTCTCTACCCATGATGAATCAAATTTAAATTTTAGTTATTCGGTTTTTTGCGAACCATGATTAGTTATTGCTTACAACAATCAATAAGCCTATAATATAACGACTATTATTGCTTATATACCTTGCATTGGATGATTCCTCATGATTTGAGGATATTATATTTCATTCAACAATTAATAAAATACTCTTATTTTATTTCGTAATTGTATTATAAATTTAGTTATATTACTTCTTTTATTGTGATTGCACATCTAATTATGCAGATGACTATATGTACATGAATCTATTAAAAAATCTGGAAAATAAGTGTTACAAGCTAAATTGAAAATATTACTTTTGCATACACGTACGATAGTGATCAATATTAGGCATTCAATATTTGCGGGTTGCGGCTAACAATTTGTATACAAATTGAACTCCAATATCGAATCATTGTTTTGCAACTGAAAAATATAAAATGTATGAAGTTCTTTAGTTACAAGAAACAATATCAATAAAAAAAATGTGTATTAAAACACTCCAATGCAATCAACGTCTTATATTACAATTTATTATAAAATTACATTTCACCTTAATTTGATTATGTATTTTCTAACAAAACAAATTTCATCACTGTGCAACACGTTGTGTGTGAGGTAAGAACCAATGGTTGTTCAATGAAAAGTTTTTATCATATTTATCTTTATTCTTTTTTTATTTATTTATTTTTAATATACAAGCAACACATTAATTGATAAACCTTTCATTTTTCTACTTTTTTAACTTAATTTTTTTTATAGATGAAATTTGAATCCACAAATACATAAAACTACATATATTTTATTTTATATCAATAAATGTATATTTTTAATTACATGACAATTAAAAAAATAAATTATCAAAATCAATCAACATATATTAAAATACATTAAAATTTCTCAGTCAATAAATATATTAATATAGAATTAAAAATATATTAAATTAARAACCAATAGGTGGTTCAATGAGAGTTTCAATCATATTT